ATAAAGGTAAATCCTCCTTATCTACCTGCTCTCTCTCTGTTTTCAATGACACTACCTAATATACTAACCACCAACAACCAATAACAACAATGAACTGCAGCCTAAGGCTTCTCACACTACTTCAGCTGGTGAAGACAACGGTTCCCATCGGAACTGGGGGTTCTGAAGAGCACGATTACGGCTTGCTTCCCTATCCCATAGAGAAACATTCCCTTCACTGATCCCTCCCCTCTGGATCTGCCCTGGACTGTCCCTGGAGCACATAGCGCCCCCGGTTTCCCTTAAAGGAAGGCATGCATGTAAAAGAACAAGACTTTACAGTTTTACAGTTTCCAGTTTACACAGCACACTGTGCACCCAAGCCGCCCTTGAAGCGACCCACACCAGGAGTCTTCAGCTGCAGGTGACACCTCGCTTATTTCTTTCCGAGCCTCGCGGGTGGAAACGGAAACTGATTGAAGTCTTGGGTAATCACAGTGTTGCAAATTTTCTATCAAGTGATGGCACCTCCCCCGTGCGCCGATTGTAGCAGGCGATGGCACAAACGCCACCGAACGGCCTTATTTTCCTCTGGCTGGATTTGACAAGCATCTTCATCTCCAGTTTGGGTCCTCGGGCCCGGCTGGCGGCAAAGGCCGGGCCACGGATCCCCCCCCCCACCTCTCAACCTGGTGCAAGAGGCTAGTAGCTGTACATCTGCTGCTGAGCTGGGGGCTGGGGCTGCTGAGCTGGATCCTGGGTTTGAGGCTGCTGCTCGGCCTGTTGCTGGGGGGGGTCGGACTGCGAGGGGGCGTCCTGGGGCTCTCCAGCGGCCGGGGCGCCAGGGCTCCCCTCGGCGGGCGCGACCGACCTCCAGGCGAGCGAGGGGTGCTCCAGCGGGTGCGCGATGGGGTTGACGAAGGTGGTGAGGTTGATGAAGTGCGCCACCGACTGGCCGGAGGCCCCCGCGTCGGCGGGCAGCTCGGGGGGCCGGTTGTGCAGCATGGCGGAGCCGCTGACCGCGTCGAAGGTCACGGTGAGGATGGAGCTGTCCAGGGTGAGCGGGCGGTCGGCGGGGGCCAGGTGGCCGACCGCCACGGGCTGCAGGCTGGTGAACTGGGCCGCAGCCTGGGTCGTGATGGGCGTGACGGTGATGTTGGTCAGCCCCACCGAGCTGGAGGGGGGGGACGAGGTGGCCACGCTGGGGTCCGCCAGCACCACCACCTAAACGAGAACATCAGGGAGAATCGAGGCTGTGATGGCAGCACAAACACTGAGAACTGAAGGTGTTCCTGACAGAGGGCCGGAGGAAACAGGTTGATAGGTCAGTTTTCCGATTCAGCCAGGTGGCCAGCTCTCTGGGGTGTTAGACGCAGCAGCAAACAGTGGAAACGGGGATAAGATAAGAAAGCCTACAGATAAAGGAGGCCTTTTGACTAGCTTTGCTCATCCAGTTGCTTGTGCCTTAATAATTGCTTACACTTATAAAGCACTTTTCTGGACACTCCACTCAAAGCGCTTTACAGGTAACGGGGGTTCCCCTTCACCACCACCAGTGTGCAGCCCCACCTGGATGATGCGACGGCAGCCATAGTGCGCCAGTACACTCACCACACACCAGCTCTCAGTGGGGAGGAGAGCAGAGTGATGTAGCCAATTCATAGGTGATAATTAGGAGGCCATGATTGGTGAGGGCCAATGGAAAATTTGGCATGGTTACACCCCTACTCTTTTTGAGAAACTTTTTGAGAGTCAGGACCTCGGTTTTAGTCTCATCCAAAGGTAGGCACCTGTTTACAGTATAGTGTCCCCGTCACTACACTGGGGCATTAGGATCCACACAGACCGCAGGGTGAGCGCCCCCTACTGGCCCCACTAACA